CCCCAAAACCCCAAAACCCCAAAACCCCAAAACCCCAAAATGTTCTTAATAAGTTGAATCCAAATGTCTTTTTATCTTCGAAATTACACAGCTGCATTTATGATGGATTCGAAATTATCTTTAATAAAGTTGATAATATGATCATTGTTGTTTTCCCTAGCTAAATCAAGAGGAGTCTTTCCAAGCTTGTTCTTTGTTTGAAGATCTGCTCCTTTTGATACAAGGAAAAAGAAAATATCTACAGAATATATAAAGCAAGGTTACCAAGATTCCCACTGATTCCAGCAAGATGCAATCAAGTATTTCCTGAAGAATCCTTGATGAAGAAATTTTGACAATATCCAATCTTATTTCTCATTATTGCTACAGTTTTAGAGTTTTAAGTACCTTGAAAATAAAAATTTGACAATATTGAAAGCTCCGTTTAAAACTGCAAGACTGAGCAAAGACAAACCATTGAAATAGAAGTCCTTATGGAAAATATTCACTCCCTTTGATAATAGAGAGTTTAAGAAGGAAGTATCATCCCTAATAACGGCATAATGTATCGGCAGGAATCCTTTCTCATCGTGGATCTTATGTAGAGAATTTGAATCAACTAAAAATTAAAATACGACATACGAATTTCCATAATTTCTTTGATATTCAATGCACTACAGATTAACTTTCAAAATTACTTTATGTTAATACTTTCGCGGATATTAGCTCCTTTATCTAAAATCAGCTGAACCAGGCTAGTAAATCCATTATCTAAATGTTAAGAACCCTATGTATTACTAGAAGCAATAATCAAGGCACTTGTACCTTGATTATTTTTGATATTAACATCTAATTGAGGGTGATTGTTTAAAATTTCAGTTGCAAATCTAGATTCATGCATTAATATTGCCCAATTGAGAATAGTTTCTCCCTCAATATCCTGAACATTTCTATACTTTTATAAATGGAACGTACATGTCTGAGCCAGCTTCTATCAAAATATCAAAAAGCTTATAATAACCCTTAATCGCTGCTACAAAGAGGGGAGTATGGCCATTTATGTCTTTGACATTCAGATTCATCTCAGCTTGTTTGTACTTCTCTAGAATAAGAGGAAGCATTGATTCTTGTTGGTTACATACCGCCCAATGCAGAGGAGACTCATTGGATGGATTGTCACTCGAGAATAGATTTAGTTCCTCTCTTGATGTCAAATATTCGAAGATAGGAACTCACCCTGCAGCACATGCATAGTGAAGCAAGGAATAACTTGTAGAAAATTTAAAATATTTCTGAATATTTCTTTCATTTGGGTGAAGGAATTGATTGCTCTGATCGACTGGCATTCTAAGAGATTCTGGAGCTATTAGCTCGATAATGAGATCAAAAATCTGCACTGACCCAGTGCTGACAACATAAATTAAAGTTTTCATTAATTCTTTACCAAAATTTTCATGAACTGTTAAACTTTTTATAACTTCTTCTAGTGCTAGCAAGAATCTAAACTTGTTAAAAATAAACTTACAAAGTTCAAAAGAAGTGCCCATTGTAAATAGAAAGGCACAGAGGAGAAATCTCATCACCTATGGCTGTCATCTTTGCTCCATATTTATAAAGCATTTTGATCATTTTGAGATCTCCAGAAATGCATGAAATAGCTAAAGGAGTTTTTCCACTATCATTAGGAATATTAATATCTTCATATTTCTGTAACAAAACAGCACTCATTTCATATTCCTTCTTCGCTACAGTATAGTGAAGGAGGGTATCTCCGAATACAATATCTTTTTGATCTTAATCCTAAATTTGCTAATAAATTACCAAGCTTTATCTTCGTGATTTTGTCCAAAAACCTTGGAGTGCCAACATGTACAATTTCTTTGAGGATTTCAAATTCTTTGAGTACGGATAACTTGTCTTTATCCTTAATTAAGCCTTCAAACTCTTCAATATCTTCTGTCTTAATGCTGTGTCTGAGAATCTCTAGAATGTTTGGTACCTATATATAAGAGTAATTTCAAGAGTAAAATTACTTACCTCAACAGCAATGCTAACCGACTTAGTCTCTTCTTTTTCCATTTTAAATTAAAATTGTATTATTTTATATCTTGGGGTTTTGGGGTTTTGGGGTTTTGGGGTTTTGGGG